GGATTGATCTCAGGTCCAGGAAGCTCCCACATGCCTCAGAGCAACTAAGCCCACGTGCCACAACTACTGAAGCCCGTGCGCTTAACGCCGTGCTCTGCAACAAGAGAAGCCACCGCAATGAGAAGCCTGCGTACCGCAACGAAGAGTAGCCCCCGCTCGCCACAACTAGAGAAAGCCTTCGCGCAGCAACGAAGACCCAACACAGCCGAAAAATTAATTTATTAATTAAAAAAATGTGATATGCTGATCCCATGTTAGCAGATACAGGACTTCATGGATCTTTAAAGTGCAAAGGTGGACCAAACAACAGAAAAAAGGCGTTGAAGCTCAGGATCGGTGAGTGAGCCAGCCGGGTGACTCAAATGAACTCACATCTCCAACACAGATGAGTCACATTTTCTGATGCTTAGGCAACTAACAAATCCCAGCAGGATCATTGCCTATCACCTTTTATAATTAATGGATGACAGGAGAAGAGGCAGAAGACTGAAGATGGGCAAATGCTCTGATTTTCAGAAAGGAAAAGGAGTGTGGCCTAAAAACCATAAACCAGTGGATTAGGCACTGACCTCCTGACAAAATTCTACAGTCAACTGTCAGACTGTCAAACATCTGGATAAGAAGACAGTTATCACTGGGACCTACATGGATTTACCAAGAATAACTCCTCCCAAACGAATGGATTTATTTATGACCTGAGCAAGGCATGTGGCAAAAACTCTATAGCTGTATTTGTAGGTTTAAAATGGGCACCAAATGATAGGATCAAAGAAGGTGGGTGATGATGATGATGAAATAGGAACAGGTAAAGATCTTTGAGAAGGTAAATCAAGTCTCAACATTGAAAAGAACTCTCTAACAATTAGAACTGGCAAAAACGGAACTGGCTACCTTGGTATTTAATGAGTTCCCCATCCTTGAAGGAATTTAAGCTGAGGCTGGTAACTACTTGTTAGAGATACTGCAGAAGAGATATATACTTGACAGAGGTTGGATTAAATGACCTTTAAGGTTCCTTTCATTCTGAAGGATTTTCCTATTAATTTTCCTACCTGGTTGCAATGCTAAACTTGTCTCAGTGGGTATTAAAGAAAATAATCTTACCCTCCAGCAACCCCAATCTGGCTTGGCAGTTGGCATTATTATCCCAGGCTGTTCTGCACTATGTCACTGACTGCAGTTACAATTATAACAGCCACAGAGATCAATCTTATAGAGAAAAAGTGCTTTTTCGTTAAAGGTGAAGGTAGAGAGAAAAAGAGGTTCTCAATTCTAACTGTATAAGATATGGAATTTAGAAACAGGCAATTTAACAAAAGTAAAATGTATGCTCTGGCAAATTCACTCCTATAAAATGTTTCCGGGTCTGGGAATTCCCCGGCAGTCCAGTGGGTAAGACTCCACACTTTCATTGCCGAGGGTGCAGGTTCCACCCCCGGTCAGGGAACTAAGATCCCACAAGCTGTGCAGTGAGGCCAAAAAAAAAAAAGAGAAAGAAAGTGTTGCAGGGTCAAATAACTGGATCTAGGGCTGCAAAAATTATACGAATATAATTAAATCATGATTTTTCTTGCCAAAAAAAGCACATCTTTGTTATATGATATAATCTTAAATAGGATTACCTCGTATTTGTACAATAGTTTTCAACTTTGCTAAATCATTTTGCATCACATAGAAAGATAAAGCACTACTACATTTTTCAGGTGGGCAATTTTCCAGGAAATTAAATGAGAGTAAGTGTTCATGACATTATATAACTTTTCACATGTCCCCTTTGCAGAATAATGAACTCTGAGGTTTCACATTAGTTATTCAATACACACTGGTTGAAGGAAAAAAGTGATCTCTCCAAGATAGCATGACTAGTAGGTGAAGAAACCTTAAAAAGTGTTTACTGAGTTTTATGATTAAGTTTAAAGCTCTTTCTCCTCATTTTGATAGGAGGGAGGTTTTGTTTTTAGAAGGTATATAATAAAATTCAACAGAATTTAGGTGTTTTTTTTTTCTTCAGAATATATAAGGTACATTGAGGAAAACAGAAATAAGTAAACTGTTTTACTTACCTAAAATGATTTAACGTGTGTTCTGAGTATTTTTCTTCCTTGTATTTTAATCATCTAAGCAAATGCATAAATCACCTTAAGAACAGAAGTTCTTAATCTTGATGAAGTCCAATTTATCAATGTCTTTTCTTTAATGGTTACTGCTTTTTATGTTCTAAAAAATCTTTGCTTATCTCAAGGTTTTAAAGATATTTTCAAACTGTATTTTCTCCTAGAAGTTTTCTAGTTTTAGCCTTTATACTGAGGTCTATGATCTATCTCAAATTAATTTTTGTGAATGTTGTGAGGTAAAGGTCACATTTAACCTTTTCTTCCATGTGGCTATGCAGCATGTGGAAGAGCACCATTTGTTGAAAAGATTTTCCTTTCCCATTTTAATTATGTCGGTGCTTTTGTCAAAAAAAAATCAACTGACCAATGATTAATGGGTAAAGAAAATGTGGTGTATACATACTATGGAATACTATTTAGCATTAAAAAGGAAGGAAATCCTGTCACATGCTACAAGATAGATGAACCTTAAGGATGTTATGCTAAGTGAAATAAAGACATGTTTCACGAGTCCATCTATATTAGGTATCTAAGTAGTCAAATTCACACAAAGAGAAAGTAGAACGGCTATGAACAGGATATGGTGGGGTTGGGAAGGGTAAGAGGAGGAGTTGTTTAATGGGTATAGATTCAGTTTTGCAAGATAAAAAAGTTCTGGAGACGTTTCACAACAATACAAATATACTTAACACTACTGAATTGTACACTTAAAAACAGTTAAGATGGGGACCTCCCTGGTGGTCCAGTGGTTAAGACTCTGGGCTTACACTGCAGGGGTCACGGATTCAATCCCTGGTCTGGGAAGTAAGATCCCACATGCTGCATGGCATGGCCAAAAAAAGGTTAAGATGATAAATATTATGTTATGTGGGGTTTTTTTTTAACCACAATAAAAAAGAAATCAATTGATCATATATGTGTGGGCTTATTTCTAGACTCTGTTCTGTACTAATGATTTCTTTGCCTATCTTTATGCCAATACTACAATGTCTTAAGTACTATAGCTTTATAGTAAGCTTTCAAATTTGGCAGTTTTAGTCCTCCAACTTTTGTTTTTTTGTGCAAGAGTGTTATGGGTAATCTAGGTCTTTTGTAGATCCTTATGAATTTTGGAATTAGCTTACCAATTTCTAAAAGAAAAAAAAGCCTGCTAGGATTTTGATTGTGATTACACTAAGTCTGTGAATCAAATGGGAGAGAATGGACATTTTAATAAAATCAAGTCTCCTAATCTACAAACAAGGTCTTTAATATCTCTGGGCACTGTTTTGTAGTTTTTTGTGTAGAGGTCTTGTTTATCTTTGGTTAAATTCATTCCTAAATATTTTATGTTTTTGTTGCTATTGCAAAATAATTTTTTTAACTTAAAAAGTTTTTGTTTTGATATAGTAATAAATTCCTACAGTTAGGAAGTTGCAAAAATAGTACAGGGCGGTCCTGTGTACTCTTCACCTAGTTTCCCTCAATGGTTACATTTTACATAATTATAATATAGTACAATATCAAAAGTATTATAAATTGGATTATAAATTGGTGTTGGTACAATGTGCACAAACAAAATTGGTGTTGGTACAATGTGTGTGTATAGTTCTATGTCATTTTATCACATATACAGATTTGTGTAAACAGCAATAATATTCCTTTTAACTTAATTTTCCTACTGTTTGTTGCTGGGATACATCTGAAAAAGTTCAAACAATGGTAACTAGGAAAATGACTTTGATAGAATAGTTCTGTCAGAGGATTTTTTCTTCAAAAAGTTCTACCATATTGTTGATTTTATTCATAAAATGACTATTCCAAAAAACATATTTACTCAATCACTAAGTTCCCAGGAGAATTTTGGAAATATGTGCTCAAAAGAGGAGAAAAAGAAAAAATGCAAAGTATGTGCCAGTCAAGTGTATTCCTTTTATTCTTGACTTCAGAAAATATAGATGAAATTAAATTCTAAGGCAGAAATATCATGTAGTTCATAAGCTCTTTAGGGCTGACCCTCCTCTAACAGGAATACTTCTGTTACTGTAAGAGCTCCTCCAACTTTTGATCTCCTGGTTAACAACGGGTCAGTCAGAAGCATTCTGAGATTGTAATCCTTACTTCTACTTAAAAAAAAAGAGGTGTCCTCACTTGCTTTTTAAACCAGATAAGTGAGCTGACACTTCTAGTATTTGAGTAAGGATGAAGCCAGGTTAAGACGATCTATTACTATATTTTATTCATAATGAAATTATGATTATGTTAAAAAAAAAGAATCTTCATGTGTTCGAGATATTGACTTAAAATAATCTAGAGTGGAGGGAAGGGTCTTCCCTGGTGGCACAGTGGTTAAGAATCCGCCTGCCAACGCAGGGGACATGGGTTCCATCCCTGGTCCAGGAAGATCCCACGTGCCGCGGAGCAACTAAGTCTGTGTGCCACAACTACCGAGCCTGTGCTCTAGAGCCTGCAAGCAACAACTACTGAGCCCACGTGCCACAACTACTGAAGCCCGTGCACCTAGAGCCCGTGCTCCACAACAAAAGAAGCCATTGCAATGAGAAGCTCGCGCACCACAACGAAGAGTAGCCCCTGCTCACCGCAACTAGAGAACGCTCAGGCGCACTAACAAAGACCCAATGCAGCCAAAAATTAATTAATTAGTTAATTAATTTAAATAAATAGAGTGGAGGGAGGATGAGTGAACAAGTGTAGGTAAAGATAAAAAAGACCAACCGTGTACTGACTGTTTAAGTTTGGTACTGTTTCATTATACTTATTCTCTCTACTTTTGTAATCATGCTTGATAAAAACTTTAAAAGCACTTTATTCACAATTTCAAATTTTCAGATTCCAATCATTTTTGAAAATTTAGTATGTAACAGGAAAATCTGTAGAGCAACTCACCTGACATTTTCTGGTCTGAGTTTATCGAGAACCATCTCTATTAAATCGGGTCTAAATTCTTCCAGTAAATATTCAGCTGTGAGCACTTCTTCTAGGGGATAGTACTTTTTAAAAGGAAAAGAAAGAAATAAAATTTGCAAGGCTACAATAGAGTCTAACTTATTAAAGCAAACAGATCTCTAACATGTTAAATCCTCTATTTTACACCCCCCTCTTCCCTTCAATTAAATTTTACTCCACTGGAAAAATTTCTGAATCTTTTGTCTTTCCTACCACACTTTAAACAATTTCATATTGTGGGATGATTCTGCAGTTAACCCCTAAACACACTTACATTATAGAGAACAAAATCACATTTTTTCAGGGAAAAATGTGAGTAATACCTCTAGCTAAAACTGAGTACTTGTTAATAAAGAAAATTTGATGATTAAATGCTGACACCTGTAGGATTCTTAATATAAAGTACATACATTTTAATAAACAGAATTTCGACTCAAATTTCTATGAATGAAATCAGACAAGCATTTAGAGAGTTGTTGTGTAGGAAAAATGGCTTATATTTTCAGTTAGTAAAGAAAAATAATGTAGAAGATGCTTTTTAGTACAAGCAACTTACTGATAGACTGATTCATTCATTCAACAAGTATGTAATGAATACCTACTCTGTGCCAGGCACTGTTCTAGGTGCTGCTGTGGATACAATGGTAGATAAGACAGATGATGTCCCTGCTCTCTAAGGAGCTTATATTCTAATTGGGAGGGAGGCAGACAACAAACAAACAAATACTGTCATTATAGTGATAGGTGCTATGAAGAAAGTTTTAAAAGGGGCAGGGTCATGATTGGGAGGTCAGGGAAGGTCTCTCTGAGGGAGAAACATCTGAGAGGAGACCCAAATGATAAGAAGAATCTAGTCATGGAAAAACCAGAAGTGTTCCAGGCAGAGAAAACAGCAAATGTCAGGGCCCTGAGAGGGAGGAGTAAACTTAATGCTTGAAGATTAGGCACATAGCCAGTGTAGCTGGAGTGGAATGGAAGTGGTGTGGAATTCAGTCAGAGAGAGGCTGGGACCAGACTGCCATGTAGGTCAAGGTAAAAACTTAGATCTGTTCCAACTCTGATGGGAAACTTACTTGACACAGAGGAGTGGAACAATCTGATTTGGGTTTTCCAAAGATCACTGAGGCTGGAAAAATAAACTATGGTGGGGCAGAAGAAGGCAAGCAGGGAACCCAGGTAAGAGACTATGACGGTAGTCCAGGCAAGAAATGCTGGTAGCTCATATGAGGGTGGTAGCAATGGAAATGGAGAAAAGTGGATGATTTATAGCTTTCACGTAAGTAGCACCCGACACACTGTAGAATTGAAAAATACTTAAAGCCAACAAGCAAAATGCCTATGAAATGAAAATATTACAGAAGATGATTTTTAGGATGATGAAAATTAAGATTTAAAGAATGTCTTCACATCAAATTTTACCTGGTTGCTACGAAGTCTGAAGTTTTAGACTCTACCTTCAATTTTTATCATTTGTGTAGTAATGAAAGTAATATTATTTATACAAGATCACTGAAATACTCTACATGCCAATGTATAGAGTAAAATAACAATAAACTTACATGCAATATTCCTGCAATCTTAGAGGTATAACCCCGTGGCCTCTCTTTATCTTTAAACCTAAAAGCAACAGCATTCAAGTCCTAAACGAAAAATTAAATCAATTAGACATAAGTCACCTATTATTTAGAAATACTTTTTTTTGGGGGGGGATTGGTTTGCACTATAGACTTTCTACTCCATATTTAACTATCACACTTCCTGAAAAAATGGCTATGCTTGATTTAGGAATGTACAGAACATGAATGAAAATAACAAACACAGAATATGATTCTGTTGAAACTATTAGTCAAAGAATTAGGAAAACTGTGGAGGAAGCTTGTGAGATCCAACAGTTGCATACATGATGATTTTGCTGACCCTTTCAGAGAACTGCAGCCTGATTAGAACTTATTGTCATAAGTTTCACAAGCAGAGATTATACCTTTAAACTTTTATCTATGTAAAGAGGTTATCTCTTATCCTAAAATACATTTCAGAGTCTTGATAGTCCTTAATTATATAGTAGATATTTTTAAAAACTCTTAAAAGAAGGCTTTAAACATTTAAAAGACAAATACCTTCTGTTTTATGCAAAAAAAAAAAAGGCCAGGCTTTTCCATACATAAGACAATAAAATCACTTTTAAGAACACAATCATATATATAACAATTCACTGTTTCTTTGAGAGTATGCTACAAATTTTTATCACGAGATCTGAGAATGACACAGCTCATGCAACTTCAGGCCGGCAGAGAATAGAGTAAGCCCTGATAGATAAAAGTTCAAGAAACTGCTGACTTCTTCTGAGGGATAGAAAAGCAGTCTGATTTCTTTCCTTTTCCTTATATTTAAATTAATTCACATATATTTGTTTCTTGAAAAGTTTCCTTAAGAAAAATTTTGGTGAAACAAAAGTACCTTGCACTCTTGGAAAACCCATTCTTGAGGTCCTTCTGCTCGTAACTTCTGAATGTATTGAAACATGTGCAAAATTATATCTTCAACATGTACTGGAAAAAAGGGGCACACTTAAAAACCATTCAGTCCTCGAATCCTTCAAAGCAATGAGCTCATTCCTAAGGTAAAGTCAGGTAAGTAGAAGATGGTCCCTCTTAGAGATGGAGTGAGTTCTCACCTCCCTAAGACTGGTTTTAGGGTCCCACATACATGGCCCTCCAGGATTTGGTATATGTGACTAAAGGGGCTTTGGGGTAGTAAATGAGCAAATAAGTCAAGTACACATTTTACAAGTGCAACATAATGATCAGTTGTTAAGGAGGGAAAATCATCCATGAAATGAAGTTACACATGAAAAATACAATGGATAAAATGGTATGAATTAAAGTGTTTATAGCTTTACAGCAAAAAACAGATCCACAGCATAAGTTAATAAAAGTAAATCATAAGAAATCAATTTTCATTCAAAAACAAAAAGGTCAATACTTACATAATCCTTCCTCAGTCAAGTCCACATTAATGATAAAAAACATAAAACCTCGGGCTCCTTCCTTTTGCCCACCAACAAGAGTATTTACCCAGCCTGTAACATTCAAAGGAAATCAACATGATCGCATGTGTGTCTTCTTTTAAGACAAGGAATTAAAAAAAAAAATTCATTCTGTATGCTCCCAATGGAACATACAGAATGGCTCTCTTGCAGAAAAGACTGGAAAAAAAATCAGTTCAGAAAAGCACTGAAAAGCAGTTCAGACACTGCAAAAGATTCAAGTGATTTTTTTAGTTTGGGAGCTTTCCTTGGGACGCCTCAAATCATTTCCCAAATCAAGAGTAGATGACTGTGCTTAAGTGTTATATAAAAAGAGTCTGAATGGAGAGGAACCTTGGAAATCTATTGAGTGATCCTAATACACCCTTTGGTTTGATGGATAAGAGCAGGGAAATAAATATTTCAGCACATTTCACAGAGATGGTAAAGAATCCCTAATGTGAGCTTTTACTTTTTTTAACCTCTATCTTATTTAAAACATGCACTACAACACCTTTTGAAATATGTAAACTTCACAGCTCAATACTGAAGGATAAAACAAATTATGGAAAAACAAAAACCCCAAAGCAAAAAACAAAAGCGTACTAACAACCAACACCTCAGTCTCATCAACCCTAAATGGTATCATCTGAAAATGTTCCTTCACAGGAAAATATTTAGGAGAAATGAGAGTCAGAGTAAAAAAATATGGTGGACGTGGGGTACTACCCTCAGAAGCTGGTGTCCAAGAGACTCACCCTTTGATTTAAGTTCTGATAACAGACTCCCAGGACCTTCATGTCCAATGAGATGACCAAGATAATGACCCGGATTTGATTTGTAGTATTTCTGAAGGTCAGGTATGGGAAATGTCACATAAAGATTCCTAATGTCCTTAATGGGTACTATTTTGTAAAGTTGCTGGGGAAAGAATAAAACAAACAAATCGCAAAAGGTTAGCTCTGCACAACTCCTGCTGAATAAAATACTTACAAACTATGAAGAATAGTGATTTTCAAAAAAAGAAAAAAAAAATACCGATTTTCATGGAAAAATCCCAAATTCAGGAGAGAATCTACTGCCAGAGAAAACCATACTGACCACACAGAAATAAATGACCTGGGCTCTTTCTTAGTGGGATTTCATTACAGTTGGTATGCAGTCCACGTTTGGTCCCCTTGACCATGCAGCTCAATACTTTTGGATACTTGCCTTCTGGCACTGGATAACAGCTTCTACAGTCTGCCAAGGTTATAGCTAGCAAAACTACTTTTAACATGCAAGGATCAGAACATATTGTTATCTTTTTGGTGATACATGTCCCTAATAAATGTGACATTGATTTGATTTGATTTTAATATAAACCAAATATTAAAAACTATATAAATAATAGAACCTCCAAAAATGTTCATGTACTCTTTGGTAAACCAGGCATATATTATGTCCATAAATTTAAAAAAGAAAAAAATACTAGAAATACATGTACTTACTTTAAGATGTTCTTCTTGGAAAGGATGTTCAGGAAATTCTGGCAATGGGACATTTTTGTTCTCCACTTCAGAAAATAACTTCACCACCAGATCAGTCAAGTCATCTAAAGATTCTACAAGAACACAGACAATGGAAACAGAACTTAAACTAATCATAACACATGATGGGTAGTATTTAAAAAACTTAGGATTATATAAAAATATATAAAATCACTATGTTGTACACCTTAAGTTTTTTTTTTAAATAAATTTATTTATTTTTGGCCGCGTTGGGTCTTCATTACTGCACACTGGCTTTCTCTACTTGAGACGAGCAGGGGCTACTCTTCATTGCGGTGCATGGGCTTCTCATTGCAGTGGCTTCTCTTTGTTGAGGAGCATGGGCTCTAGGTGTTCAGGCTTCAGCAGTTGTGGCACACGGGCTCAGTAGTTGTGGCTTGCAGGCTCTAGAGCACAGGCTCAGTAGTTGTGGTGCCTGGGCTTAGCTGCTCCTCGGCATGTGGGATCTTCCCGGAACAGGGATCGAACCCGTGTCCCCTGCATTGGCAGGCAGATTCTTAACCACTGTGCCACCAGGGAAGTCCCTGTATACCTTAAATTTATACAATGTTATATTTTAATTATATATCAATAAAGCTGGGGGGGAAGAAAACACCTTACGATCGCCTGAAAAATCTCAGGACTATTAAAAGGAAAACCTAGGAATTTTTAAAAAACTCCATCTGATAAAGTTGAAGCATTCAGTAAAATCCCACCAGTGCCTATATAACTTCTGAAGCTATGCAATATTGATATTGATTATACCTCACACATATCTGCCTCCTTATAGTTTAAAAAACTGTTTTACAAATATTATCTTGCAATAAATTTCAAACAAATATTGGAAACAATATAGAATAATGAGTGGCATTTGGAAACTGACTATTTTATCTACGATTCCCAAAAGGCACATACGAAACCACTAGCTGACAGATTATAACATTAACTTTATAAATAGACACAGTCTAAACCCATTGCTAAAAGTCAAATATTAGTGTTTTTAAGCAATTGATTTTGTGGGGGAATAGTATAAAATGGTGAGAAGAATCCTGGGTGTTCAATTCTAACCCCAACTTCACCAACCAATTATGTCAAGAGACTATTTGGACAAACTGTTTAACCACTCCAGGTTCTATAAAACACGAAAGCTGGGTAGGATGATCACAAGTCTCTTCAAGGTCTAACACTATATAATTCTGTACCATACTGTGTCAAACTCATGCAAAGATTTGTAATTGTTGACAAGATTATATAGCCACTTATGTGAAGTTCTCCTATGTTATCATCTATCTATATTTTTAATGGACAGTTGTATTTGCAAAAGTATGAGATGTTCACTGCAACACCATTTATAACAACAATAAAAACTGGAAATGACCTAAACGTCTATCAATGTGTACATGTTACGAAAAGTCTGTATACTGGAATATTATGTAGCCATTAATGAGGGAGAGGTGTGTATGTGCTGATATGAAAATATCTCAAAGCTCTATTAAGTGAAGACCACAGACTTCAGTGCCATGTAGTATAATCTCATTTAATTTTTTAACAGACACACATAAATCCAAGTATATTAACAAAATTCTACTTTTGGAAGTATAACAAAAAATTATATAAAGTGACTATCTTTGAGGAGAGGGCACAGTGGTCATAAGGTGGGATAAAGAAGAACATGCTTTCCATTTTATATCTTTCTGTATGGGATAAATTTTTTTCTGTGCACACATATTACTATTATTCTAAAAAGAAAAAAGTGGAAAAGGTTATCTTTTTATAAATAAGATAACCACTCACCTTGATTCTGCCTCCTCAAAAATAGGTTATTTATAAATGGTATAAACATTCATTACTTGTTACTGTCAGGAAGCATTTGAATCGAATAAGAAATTTCCCTTGATATTCTAGGACTCATTTTGAACTTTTCCATGAACTCTCTAAAAAGCACTTAATCACTATATGAGAATTGCCTATAGATAATATGAAGTTCTCTTTTAGGCCTATGAATGTGGGCATGTGCACTTTATTTATAAAACATATGTATTTTTACTTTAATTTTTTTGACATGTATGAAGGACCCTAAAATGTCCAGAGCCAAATAAAAGGCCAACCCATGGCTGCTTGTTATACAAGTGAACTCGGGAATGAACCGGGTATATTTGGAGCAAGAGATGTCAGAGACAACTGACATAAAGAGACACACAGATGGGACACGTAACTGGAAACAAGATGGGCAGTCAACAATGATTTGTCAACCTGAAGTGCTGATGACAGCGAGGCCCTTTAGAGAAAGGTTCTACTAGGGTAGGCCTTTCCTTTTAGAAGCACAAATTCACCATGTAGCTTTTTAAAGGTAAGGGAGCCGTACAATCATGCACCATCTGTCTTCACTATGAGCTACCAGAGATCAGGGAACTGAGTCCCATTCATCTTTACATTACCAGGACTTGGCAATCCTAAGGTCTCCACTTGACAGTTACCTATTTGTCAAGTGTCCAGGTAATTGGTGCTGCCACAACTAGAGGGAGGACCCCGTGGGAGAAGAGAGAAAAACTTTTTTGTCCCTTTGTGACAGAGATCCTTCCACATGGTTACTCTTCCTCTCCCCTCCTCCTGGGAGAAGGAGAGGATTATCTATTAATCCTTTAAGAGATTCTGTTTCCTCCACACACCACTGTACTGTAAGGACACTTCTCCCAGACATGTCATCAAATCCACTGAGCTGAGCACAGGAGGTCAGTCACACTGGGAGAGGGAACTAGAACAAAGAAACTCTTTGTCTCTTTCAGATGCTTGTTCTGTCATTTCCACTAAACCAAGAACACAGGGCAGGGCTTTCGTATGTGTCATCTGTTGCCGTTATTACTTGCCTAATAAGTGCTTACTGAAATCACGTGTTTTATCTCAAGATGACATGGACAAAAACACAGCTTAGAAACCTACTCCCAGGACTAGGCTCTAAATACCAAGTGATATTTTTTTAACACTCTATAGATCTACCTACCTTTAGAAAGCACACAGGATTATAACATACACTTTTTATTAGCCTTACTCCTTGGACCCATTTTATATCCTTGTTCCTATTACCAAGTTAAAATACATATAGTTGTTTATTTTCTACCCACAAAAGTAACATTTGTCAATAGCAGAATACTTTGAAAAACAAAAGCAAAAAAACAAAACTAAAAACAAAAGAAGAAAACAAAAGTCGCCCATAAGCTCATGATTATGGAATGCTGAAAGCAGCTACCATTTATAGAGCATTTCCTGTGTTGCCAGGCACTATGCACTTTTTCTGCATTATCTCTATTAAACCTCATAAAAGGTATGAGGTACCCCCTTCATTTTACAAATGCAAAAACCGAAATGCAGAGTACTGAAGTAACTTTGTTAGCTCATAGCCACTATATACTGAGTAGGTGATGTATTAGGAATTCAAACCCAAGCTCTCAGACTCTAGAGCATGAGTTCTTAACTACTGTACCACATTATTAAATTTCTGGTATGTTTTTCTACTTTGTCTTATGTCTCCCATTTATGTCTATTAGAATTTTTTAGAAATCCCCAAATGGGATCAGATAGCACACAGTGCTTTTATAGAGTGCTTTTGTTTTCTATTTAATACAATAAGAGTATTTTCCCAAGTTATGAAAACACTGTCATGAAACTATTTATTCATTCAATATTTACTTACCGAATACTTATGATGTGTCAAGCGCTAAACCAGACAAAGCAGTGAACAAAACAGTTTCTATTCTTAAATAACTTACATTCTGGTACAGCAGACAACAATAAAGAATATTTAATATTTCAGGTGGTGATAAATGTTTTAAACAAAAATAAAGCAGGTGAGAGGAGAGGAAGTGGGAGAAGGGATGCTATTTTCTATAAGATGCTCTATTATATACCTATAACATCACTATTTAACCAATCTTCTGTTAATGAACATTTAGCTTGCATCTAACTTTTCACTAATAAATACTATACAGAAACATCCTCGTACATCACCTGGAACAACTCTGATTATTTCCTTAGATTGCACTTCTAGAAGTAAAAATGTACTTTTTAGGGTGATGCATCTTAAACTGTCCTCCAGAAAGTGTGGAGGAATTGCATAAATTGTATACACCACAAATACAAAAGAGCACCTCTCCTCATAATGGGTATTAGTTAAAACAAAGCCCAAACCAAAATTATGGTAATTTAATAGGGGAAACAATATCAAACTTTGTTGCTTTCTAATAGTTTTCCTAGTTTATAATCATCTGTCTTTTAATTTTTTTGTTTTTTTGAATTTTATAAGGTCAAATCTCTCAATCTTGTCCTTTATACTTCCTTCCCTTGCTATTAATTTATATTTTCTTCAGGTCTCTATTTAAAATCACCTAAGCTTCTTTTTAGAACACAGTGAGTTAAAAACAAAATTCCCCTCCACATATTCTCCAACAAGATCATTTTCAAAAGCCTCTGAACAGATAAAAGGAAGTGCCTTATATCCTTCTTCCAATACTTTGAAAAAGCCAAAGTGGAAAACTAAGATTATCCAACACCACGAAAAAATTTTAAGGATTCTTACCTCGACCTAAAACACAAATAGCCATTAAGTTGGATGAATAATAAGTAGAATGGAATTTCAGTAGCTCTTGTCTTACATCAATGCCTTCTTGGTTTGGTCTAGTCTCTAGAGTATATTTGTTACCTGAAAGGAAGGAAAAACGTTTCTAAGAAAAAGCAAAATATGCGAATTTTAAAGCCTTGCAATTATTACTGACATTGCTGTAAGGTAAACTTAAAAAATAGAGTCCAAACAAACACATATAATGATTAGTCAAATATGTTTGACCATAACCTGGATAAACAGGATAGTATAGTACAAACTAGTAACATTTTAATCTATAGAGAGTTTTCCCTCAAGAGCTTAAAGTGCCTTATAAAAATTATACTTCTTAAAATTCCTAAGAGATAGTAGGTATTATGAGCACTTATAAGACAAAATGAGATCCACATGGCCTCCATTCACACTTACTTTAACTTCCAGTTCCCTAGGTGCTCCACAATTAATTGAACATAGTCACTGAGGGATCTTTTTGGAACTTGCCAAGTTACTTGTGGAAAGAAATGTACTATTCTTGGCTGAAGCATTAAATTTGTGATGTGAATTCTCATTAATTTGATCTACACTGGTAAAAATAGGATGCAATGCTATTTTTGTAAGTCTCAAGCAATGTACATAGCGTACCACTATGAGATCTTATGAAATTTAATAACTAATTCAATTAGGATAAAATATGCATGTCAAAAGCAAATAGTCAAACTCTCTAAGTAGTACATTTCTAATAAAGATCTTGCCATTTAAAGGCTGGGAGGTGGAATTTCAATGATTGGTATCTCTCTAAAAATGGCATCTTGACTAGAAATACCCTAAGATCTAGTATAATAACTTTTATTATTGTTCCTGCTTATACTATTAAATGGGCTACTCTTTTTCACCTGCATAGATGAAACTATAGCAGAACATATTCTTGATGTGTTTTTTCCCCTTGGGTTATTGTAATGGCTGATGAACTGGCATTGGGAGAGTCCCCTTCACTAAACTGGGTATCTAGAGAGAGCCACCAGATGGCATTCTCAGACCCAGTCTTTAGCCACGTAGAGCTAAAGATTCTGAGCCAAGATTCATGCCCCAGAATGCTTCAATCAACAGATCCAGTGGAGTGTGCAAGAAAGAGCCCAGCAAGTACTCATTAACCTTTCTCTAGTCAGAAAGCAACCAAATGTACTCATATTCACTAGCATAGCCTGCTAATCAAGTCTCCAGGTTCTTTATCAGTCCTCTCAGTTTCACTAAAGATCCAGTTCAACTCCAGATCTGCTCTGCTATAGGGGTCCTAAAATACCCCCTCATTCTACCTGAGGAATCCAGGTGATCTAAAAAGTATCGAGGGGCCTAACTCCTCAGAAAAAAAAAGGAAAAGAAAAAAAAAAGCTTTTTGTTGGGTAATGGTTTGAAGTTCTCTCATATTAAGGTAAAGCTTGAGTATTGATGGTACCTCCCTTTTCTACTAAATGAAGGTTATAAAAAGCCTCAGTTGCAGAGAGACTAGTCCTTAGAGCTTCCTTACTCATTTATACTGCCAAGCTCAGAGTCCTACAACATGTGCATCAATATCCACACACTGGGACACCCGAGTTTGGAGAAATTATGTTTTATTTCAACAGACTATAAATGTGATAGTGTTAGACAGAAATCAGATCTTCAGTCTAAGTGTGATATGCCTATTCACAACCTGGTCAGTATTCTGGTTAAAAAAAAATCTCAAATCAAAGTATACAAAAACCAAGATCATGGCCTCCATCTAGAACTTAAAATTCTTTCAGTTTGACTAGTTCTAGCTCATTCTGCTTTGATTTTAATGTACCTGAATATCTTACCATTCTAATCCTTACCCTTTACCTTTAGGTTCATTTAAAAACACAGAGATAAAGCAAGAACATACCCCAAATACACTAAGACATGTACCACTGGCAAAATACTGACAATGCTAGAGTAAAAAGATCCAGAGGACCACAACAGAATAGTATACCACACAAAAAACGAAGAATTCACTGTTCATATGCAACAGCATGGAGGAATTTCACAACTTTTAAGGTTGAACAAGAGAAGCCAGACAGACACAGAAGAGTACACACTGCATCATTTCATTTATATAAAGCATAAAAACAGGCTAAACTAAGATCTGAGTCATGAAAAGTCAGAACAGAGGTTATCCTTTGGTGGGTGGATAGTGACTACAAAGGGGCAGAAAGAGGTGCTGGTGATCTGTTTCTTGACTGGGTGCTGGGTCCATGGTGTACTGGGGTTTTGAAAATTCAGTGAGTTGTACGTAAATAATAGCAGTATATTCACTCAGCTGATTCTTCAAATAGCAGCAAAGTAAAAACAACAACAATTTATCAGAGCCACACACACTTTTCAGTTATTATATTTCAACAAAAAGTTAAAAGAAAAACGAGCCAAAGGAGCCACTCTGTCAACAGCAACCTGACCTACCTAAGGTACAAAAATCTAGTGATTCTGTATCTCTGGCCAAACTTCTAAACAGAGGCCCAATCATTTTGTTCTGAAAAGTGGCTTTTAGCCACAAATAGATACCATTCTGTGAATCTACATATTCATTTATTTGCTACCTAGATGCTTTTAGGCTTTCTAATATATGATGACACAAGGAAACTGTGGTCTGTTTGGGAACACAGCCCAGAATGGCAGTCTTGTATCCTTAGATGCTCCTGAATCAGAAAGAGGAAAAAGTTCTCCAGTATTACTCTCTTGGGGTCAGGATAGTCAGCTCTTAATACAATGACAGAAAAAACATGAATATTTGGTAAAAATGGGCCAAAGAGTCAGGCTTGTTATTAAGTTTATTAGCCCTTTTATAACATTTTTTTAAAGTTTTTTAAAAACAAGAAGGTTAGCTATAGTGGAAATTCTCAAGAAAGTTAGTTGAGGAAATAGAAGGAAAAGCAGGACATAATGCACAGAATTCCATAATTAGTCCTTAAATTACTGAGTAGACTCTGTTACTATCAGTGCCATCAACCCCAGGTAGGGAGGTGCAGAGGAACAAGCACTGGCTTTGGTGTTGGCAGAGCTATCATCAAATCCAGGGTCAAATGTCTTCTGGCTGCATGACCTTGAACAAGTCACCCTACTTCTCTTAAGCTCAATCTGCTGTCCTGACATTGGTAGACTTATATAACACCAAATTAAAAAAAGAAAAAAGATGTACAAAAGCATAAGGCTAATATTTAACAACCAATAAACAGAATAGAAAATCTGATGACACCAAGTGTTGTGGTGATGGTGAAATGAGAACTCAGACGCTGAATGAGGGAGTGCAAACTGGATCAACCACTATAGGAAACAACTTGGCAATATCTGTTTAATCTAAAAGATGTACATATCCTAATATACAGTAATTCCACTCCCAGAATTCCACTCCTAGAACCCTAGAGAACTGTGTACAAGGAAACATGTATAAGAATGCTTATAGCAGCAATGTTTTGTCAACAGGAAAATGGCTAAAGAATAGTACATGCATTCAATAAATTTTTCAGAGAGCAGCAAAAAATAAAAAACTTATCAGAGGGGGCTCCTCTGGTGGCGCAGCGGTTAAGAATCCGCCTGCCAATGCAGGGGACACGGGTTTAAGCCCTGGTCAAGGAAGATCCCACATGCCACGGAGCAACTAAGCCTGTGCGCCACGACTACTGAGCCTGCACTCTAGAGTCTGCATGCCACAACTACTGAGCTCGCGTGCCACAACTACTGAAGCCCACGTGCCTGGAGCCTGTGCTCCGCAACAAGAATAAACACCACAATGAGAAGCCCACACACCACAGCGAAGAGTAGCCTCCGCTTGATGCAACTAAAGAAAGCCTGCATGCAGCAACCAAGACCCAACGCAGCCATAAATTAATTAATTAATTAATTAATATATTAAAAAAACTTATCAGAGGCACACTCTCTAATATGGATAATCCTTACAAATATACCACTGAATGAAAAAACACAAGTGGTAGATAAATAATAATAAAATACCATTTTTATAAAACTAAAAAAACTATACAACATATTGCTTAGAAATAAATGCATGACTTAGCAATGTTTTATTAAAAAAAAGCATGGAAGTGACAATCACCAAACTTAAGATAGTGGTTATCTCCCGGGAGCAGGGAGAAAAATGCAATTGGAGAAGTGTACAACAGATGCTCAAACTGTATTAGTCATGTTCTGTTTCTTTAAGTAGTGTGTAAAGAATGATCTGGCAAATGCTTTTATACTGATCTCTTTTATGACAAATAATAAATCTATAAAAATGTTACAGAATTTAATATAATACTTGATTTACAGCAGAAAATGGCAATAAACAGTATCTACTTCTGTTACGATTTGAATTGTAGGAGGAATTCCTGGCTTCTGAGTACAGCACAGAAACCGTTCCACCAAAGTAGGGAAGAAAGCTCAGTAAATGGTCCAGATGACTTTCCTCTACCTAAGAGTCCATATGTGGAGAACAATGTGAATATGGCTGGAATAACAAACACCAGTTCAGTCTCTAGACATATACTGTCCTAATTTAACACTAATTCAGGTGGGTCATTTATATCAAATTAAAATGCTGCTACAAAAATCTTGAATCCTACCTTTCTGGCTCTCTCACTGTAAGAGTGAGCTCCAGCAGAGGCTTGAGGATGTCAGGGTTGCTGACCCACTGGGAGCTTCTGCTCTGGGCCTGCCAGGAGAGAGCACTGGCTTGGCAGTTGGGAGATTCAGGGTTTCCCATCCTGACTCCCATCATCGACTAATTAAGCAACCTTGGAAAAGTCTACAAATATCTCCAAGGGGTCATTTATTTTATCTGTGAAATGGGGGTAATATGGATACATGCCCAACTGTTAAAAGCAAGGGTCAATCCCTGACCCCTTCGTTTACTAGCTGTCGAGACAAGTTTCTTAACTTCTCTAAGCCCCAGTTTCCTTATTGGTAAATAAGAATAAGAGAACCAACCTCACAGGATTGCCATGAGGATTAAATGAATAATCTGTTTTAAGGCTCAGCATAGCATCTGTCAGACAATAATTACTTAATAGGAACTTGGGTTGCTGTGAAGTTTACTGAAAGTGATAACGGATATGAAG